AAATGAAATTAACCGTTAATATTTTCTTTGGGTCGGAAAGGATCATACACAGTTTACTTGGTATTTTTTGTAACTTTAACGGTTTTCCCCAACAGAATAATAAGTCTCTCCATAGGGCTACTGTGAAATCACAATCATAGAATAAATGTTGAATATTCTCTATTTCTTTGTTACAAAAGGTGCACATCTGATTGGAGAACTTAACTGGATTAATCTTATGGAGTTTCTCATTTGTATAAATGATTCCGTGTAACAATTTAAATTGGAATTCTCGTAATTTACAATCTATTGACATTTTTAACATTAATTTATACATGTGTTTCCATTCTAATAATTCTGGTTTCATTATATCCTCCAGTGCTCTGTGACCTACCAGCGATGTGAACACTCTGTTTCTTAATTCCTCATTCAGATTTGATTTTGAAATGTCTTCTAATGGTCTATGAATTCCTGAGATGGTTAAACATACCTCGACTATCTCTTTTTCTTTTAAGAACTACTGTTAGCTGAGGGTACTGGAGGTATTATGTAAGATTAGTTTTTTAACTGAGAAGTTTGTATGCTAATACAGATCTGCTCTTCGAAATGCACAACGTGATTTTATTGAAGTTTATAATACTAATAAAAAAATTCAAAGTTTAAAAAAAGCTGAATAAAATTGGTTGTACATTATTTTGTGGTTTGCAGTCTGTGGTAATCCAAGATCACATACATGGATGCACTAAGCTTGATTTAAATCTGATATTATTTTATAGTGATTCTAGAAATATCAGAAAAATGTTTAGTATATCAGAGGTACATTACTTGGGGTTTGCAACGCGCATAGTACTGTATGGTGACATCATGCCAAGATCCCATTCAAGTCTCATCTCGTAGATAGCGAGACTGATACTACGACCTTCTGACATGACATAGGCGGTTTGTAATAAAACAATAAAACATGTATTACCACATTCATAGCGAAAAAATGTAATACATCGAAAATGTACAGAAAATATAGTTATCGTAATCCGTCATATCGCGAACAGCTATTTTGATCCACCTGGACATCCCAGTATCCTAGTTGGAACGCCTATGTCACCGTAGTTGCAAACCCCAAGTAATGTACCTCTGAGTATATGCATTTTTTTGTTTTTTAGTTTTTGTTTAACATTCTATTGCCATATTTGGACATTGCATTACATCATTGCTGTCACTCTATCTGACGATTAATTACTCTATTTGGGTTGAATCTGCATAACACACTATCTTGCATACAATCGACTCCATCCAATATGGCGATGTGGTTTAGTCATTGTTATAATAGTGGTTAAAATGCTAATAAAACTGAATATAAATCTCAGAATTCAACTCGCTGATATGAAATGTACATACTCATAAGGTTGTTTAAATATATTGTCGCATACGACTTATTTACCACTTCCGTGTCACTGGAAATGTTCTAGAACCGTACTGTGTCTGGGTGGAATATTGTAGATTTTTTTTATAAACTGGTTGAATAGGTAATAGAACACTGTAGGAGGCAATAGAAGGTAATGGAACATTCTAGAAATTTATAGTAAATTCCAGACTCATTATGTATGCTGATGTAATGGTCTATTTATAGACAGTGTGGGTATATATAGGGGAGTTGTTCAGCACTAAGTTCAGATCGGAGACCTCGTTGAATTGTATTGGAGTTTAAGTAACTATCTAGTTATTGGAGTAGTGGAGTTTTACCGCGTCGTTGTACTTGATGTTTGCAGAGTATAATAATACCAGTACCAGTTGAAACCTCATCTGTTGGCTCCGTGTTCGTATTTTATCATCGCCGCCAGGGAAGTCTTTCTGTTACTGTTGCCATTTTGGTATTTGAACCATCACACCTGTACTATACCAATTACGGTAATATTACGTTGCGTGTGACACAATTTGTCCACAAAATATTTATTTTTGGCATGGCAAGTCCTCACCATATAGTACACTGAATTATTAAACATGATACAAAACTTGATTTGGCATCAATACTCAACTTTGCTTTTCAACTAAATTTTACTAATCTCGGCAATAATGAATACAGTTGTCTAGCAATGAAACAATTCTGTAATGTTAAAATGATGTAAACACAGACAAAGAAAAAAACTGTTTGTTTTGTGAAATCATTCGTTATTTACACTAAATTTCAGAAAACCATGAATGTTATGTTTAGAAAATATTTATAAAACATTTTATAAATTAGAAATGAAGGCTTCACACCCTTACCCACTTAATGTGGAAGTAGCCCCCCCCCCTCCCGGGGTTTTTACGTTTTTCATAAACAGAGTATATTGCCACTACAGAGCAATGAAGAAAAATCAAAACGTATCATTTAAAACAATAGGATGTTATGCATGTTTCATTACTCTGTTTGTTAAATCGAGAGGGTCGTCACCTGTGCAAGCGTGGGAATTGAGTCCCAAGCGACGGTAGACGCTTGTTTTTAAACAATGACATGCTATGGCCATCTGACGCCTTCACATGTGACGACTCTCCCACTTTAACTAATTAGAACTGGTGGGCTAATTCATGCACTTCATAGCTGTCAGCTCTCCGGGTATTTGTTGTGCTCTCGTGTTGTCAGTTTGTCATAAATATTGGCCGTTGATGGCATTTTTCATCAAGAACGATTTCACTGAAAGAAAGTGGTCTGAGGTTGAATTTATTGCTCCCCGTGCTACGTATACAATGCGTGTGAAGAAAAAAAGATTCCAGCGATAAAGTTGCTCAATGACCGTGACAGAATTTCGAGATCTTTGGCAACCCTACTCCTGGGGGGGGGGGGGGTTCGACGTCGACTCCCTTTCGGTCAGAAGGAATATGCAATTTTATTTAAGACATTTTATTCGGTTTTGTATTGAGTATGTTGATTCTGTATTCTACTCTTATCAGAACCGAAAGGCATTCACTTCATATTTTTAAAGACACACGCACACAATAAAGTTAACCAAATTATAATTTATAATCAGATATATGGGTATCTTTACGTAAATTTGTAAGATATACAAAGTGTGTGTTTTCAACTAGTGAACAACTGTTTATTGAATTTCTTCAAAATTATTATTCAAATCTCTCCTGTATTTCTAGTATTTTTCACTTGACTTTTGAACAAAGTCTACTTTCCCATGACGACATATGTCTTTGGCTTGAAGTTAGAGTGTAATAATTATTTCTCAATTTAAAAAAAAAAATAACAAAATGATACATTTTTCCTAGTGTCAAGATTCGGTATTCGAACCTAGTCTCCTTCGTTCATACAAAACATGATAAAATGGTCACTGTACTACTTGCAAGACGGATATTTACGTTGGAGTGCAACAAGTGGCCCGTGATTGCGAATGCGGCAATTATCAGTTGTTGTTGTGTGTTTTTTTTTTCCATTCTTCTGTTCATCCCTCCATTGTTCGGCTACACCACATGAGCGGATTTAGAGGGGGACCGCCCCCTATTTTTAACAACCAACAGTGCTTCGCGCCATCGGCGCTCGCGAACTTGGCCTTCGGCCAACTTATCCCCCCCCCCCCCACCTATTCCAGAATCCTAGATCCGCCCCTGCACCAGTACTGAAATAGGTCGGGGATTTCTGGGAATCTTATATCGTGGGATATATTGTTTGTTTACATTCGAAGACGCGCTGCACGACGACTAGACCACGGCTCTTTAATTTATCATGACCTCTAGTGGCAACATATTACGTGAGATGAAAGTACAAAATGCGACCTGACCATACGAATATATCTGTGAGTGTTACATAACTGTGATAACGGTTACATTTACACACAGTCCCTCTATTGAGTCATGTGATACAGGTACAGGTGATACAGCTTTCAGTTCAATTTGTAAACCTCATCACGAAATGATATCTGTCCCAATGGGAGTCAAACGGTGCACATACGGCGAATGTAAGAGTGATTCTCGTTTTCAGTACAAAAAGTATATGAATGCTGTTTGTTTTTTGCGATTCCCTAAACCAAAAACGCAGTCTGAAAAGTTCGTGCGATCGAAGGATCAGTGCCTTTTCTCGGGCAGACAATTTTGGTCGACACAGAATCATCCAGGACATGTACTGTACGCTTGTTTCCTGAACTTTGTGGGAGGAAAGGGTCTGAACCGATTGACGGAGAGGGCGCTGTCACAAAACTATTTGCGTAATAATTTCCCCAGAATGTCTTGGGCGCAATTTAACAGTTATTTTGTTGAAATATGTTGTTTCTGTTTATTCAAATCCATTTACCTCCATTATTTATCATACATAAAATGTCAGAAATATTGACGCATGGCCATATGACATATATAATAAATATAAAAATAGTCAATGCAAAGTACAGATCTTTTAATCACGACTCACCAGGGATTGAGTTGTGCTTCAATTCATACTAGTATCGATCTAGTCCAACGATTGAGCATACTTACCTGGCGTAGGGGTTAACCGTGATCAAGGAGGCGGTTCCCTCAGGGAGAGGCCTTCCCATTGCACTTCGGCTGGGCTGACACCTGCGATCACCCCAAATGTGGGTGACTCGGGCGCATAATTTATGTTAGTGGGGGACTGCGTACGCGCTATCCCCTGATTATTAAATTAATAATAGAGTTGTACACCATTTTCTAACCATAAAAAAAAAAAAGTTAAACTTTTCAGAGGGACGTAGCGATGCAAATGTCACTTCGATGATATTGAAACTATATATTTAGAGCGGTATAGGAATACATGCAAAACAGTGATCAGCACATAAAACATTGTAAATTGCCATGATATAAGAAGGAAAGTCTTCTGGGTTCAACCTCGTCCGATGCTAAGAAAAGTATCTCTTGCTAATATCATGTAATCTCAATATGGAATAATCATTTTTGTAATTTCATTAAAATTTTTCAAATAATTTGATATAAATGTTATTTTTAATCTGATGACGACGAAATCTGACGAGTTTAGTGACACATTTATTTATCACTTGCCGTGCGAGGATAGAATACCCCGGATCTAAACACAACAACATGGCAGACAGGTCAAATTTTGCTGGAGCTCGGCTCGATTATCGAACTTAGTGGAGGTAGGTAATGGGCTACTGTATTTCAGTTGAACTGTGCTGTTATTTAGAGTATTTGGTAACGGAGTTATACACTTTAGAGTTCAAAGCAATCTAACCCGTCAATATTTCGCGTAAACACGTTCATTCCGCTCATTTTACTCCGCCGGTTCGACATTGCGATGTTTATGTTATTTTACGCGAACGCCAGTGTCAGATACAGTGTACAGTGCATTTGAACCGAGTTCTGTTTTAGTAACCGTGATTTGAAAGACTACGAATACCACGTCCCATTACCACACGTACGTTCGATTCTCTAAGAAAGTACTAGCTCGTCGAGTTTTTCGTGAAGCCGAACGTCGTACTACTATGAACAGGTATACATGTCTACAGTTCCCCTAGACATTTGGGCATCCTTAATTTTGTCCGATTGAATTTTTATTAATAAATAATTTAATATATGTAGTCTGTATTCATGAACTAATTCAGATTGTCAGTGTGGGTAATTTTCTTCTTCAATATATTGTAGTAGTATGGTTTTTGGGTGTGGTCTAAATATTCAGATATGAATCATATTTAACCCTTTTATCCAAAGTATGCAACTTCTAATAGTAGTATGTTACTTTGTATCAGGCACTCAATTTACATGGCATTTGTTAGCATCTCTACTTTGCATCAAGACTTGTTTGTCATGTCATGAACCAAATTAAGAAGTCCTGGATTGTATTTTTCTTCTACGTCCTTGAATTTTGGTTGGATTTTGATTCGCTTACATAATTGATGGTGATAACTGGAGCCTTGTTCAGTGAACGATATGTACAATGTAGAGATCATTCTCTGAATTCAGTGCTCAGTTGCATTCTGTGTTTAATTGGTCGTTAAAGGGCTGGGGGAGACAACTTAAAGTGAGGGAGTCGTCACTTGTGCATGCGTGTCATTGTTTACATACAAGCGTCTACCCATGAGCCTTTGCATTTTTAGCGTGTGTTGTTATTGTCGCTTGGGACTCAATTCCCGTGCGTGCGCAAGTGACGACTCTCCTGCTTTAACACCTACATGCTGTCAATTACTGAGATACAAAGGGTGACGGTGGCCTGAACACGGGAGTTATGAAGTCGTAACTTTACATACTTTTCGTCCGGTCTCCTACGATTAAGCTCTATAAAATTTGTAACAATGAGTGGTTGATTCTATGCAGACATGGACACTGTGATGTTGTACAATAAAGAAAACATACTATCGGTATAAATAAACCCATGTGTGTATACATTGTATGTGCTTTTTATCCATTTTCAATGCATAAGCATACCCCCTCGGTAAGTTGCGACCCTTGATAAATATGATCAAGGTTTTTGCTTGGATCTTGATGCCTGTGACTTAGCAAGGGGCCACTTTATTTCAATCAGCATATGCCTTTCTTATCATACACAAACACCACATTTTGCTGTTTGTGGATTAAACACCATCCAAGTTTTATTGAATAACTATTATGCAGCTTTTCACACTTTAATTCCCCATTCCCAAATTTTCGTCAGGCGCGATGTAATTTTATTCGAGCATGCTGGATAATAATATAAAAAGTCAAAAGAGTTTTTTTAAAGATAGCAGAGTGAGTTTGGGTGAGTACAAATGAGGGCAGCTAGTAGAACTATTTCAAGAGGATTTTCAGTTGAAAGAGTATTTTTCAGAGAAAATGGACTGAGTAAAATATGACCGCGACATAGTTTTTCAACTAGCTATAGCCAAAGATAATTTGCATGCTCGTTATTCTTGCTTAGACAGGATAGTGTACAACTTTTCAGAAACTGGTACGAGTTGGTTTTAAGATGATGGCAGTTTTATTTTAGGGGAACTTTTACATTGGGAGTTTGAAAGAGTGATGTTTGATGCACTGTGACTGCACATTTGGAATGTTCAAAATCTGTCCTACCTTCCGGTTTGTTGACCCCAGGTCACGCGATACGCGCAAGCGCACAAACGATGAATGCTATCAATTCGGGAACCCAAAATTGAGATGCAAATTTATTCCTGTATCTCTAACTAAATGTATTAGAGCAGGTCACGAGACCTCTCTAGCTAAAATAAGCATATTTGGCGGGAGGTAATAACTAAGCGTGAGCTATGCTAATTTTTCCAGAGATACTCAAGCATACCGTTTATATCGTCATTATAACATGCTTGCACAAGTAATGTTCAACAAAATAGTTGTTTATATCACGTTGCTTGCTATTTCTCAATCAAACCCATATCCACTGGCAATCCTTGATGGCCTTCGCTTATATGTGAACTGTCAGACGGTGATGTGTTAAGCCAACTGCTACAAAATTTGATCACAATTGTCATTTTTACGTGGAAAAATCTCTTTCCTGGGTATTTGAAACCCAAATTGCTGTTCAACTGTAAAGTTGTCACTGATTGGCTCCTAGTTACTGTTCAACCGTAAAGTTGTCACTGATTGGCTCCTAGTTACTGTTCAACCGTAAAGTTGTCACTGATTGGCTCCTAGTTACTGTTCAACCGTAAGGTTGTCACTGATTGGCTCCTAAGTTCAATGAACAAAGGCAGAGTTATGTAATGTTTAGGGTTTGTGTGATGCCATCTTTGTGAAAAGGTTTACTGTTGCTAAATTGCATAATTCTTTCAAACTCTCCTGTGTCTTGTGAATTTGAAGCAACTTTTTATTTTTTGTAGATGCCTGTATGTTGTGGGATTCATACCTAACAGATTGTGCCAATAAGTGTGGTGATAGAGATGTGAAGATTCAGGATACAGTATACACGAGTTTAGATTAAAATACTCTAAGTGCCAAACCAGCGACAAAATGCCATTCTTTAGTCGAAAGAAGAAGAAAAAGCCAGAGCCTCCTCCAAGAGCCAATTCCACTCGTTTATCAGCTGAAAATGTATATGTGACATTGCCGACCTCACACACTCAGGGAACTACAGTGTCAGTCGATGTAAATTCTGGTACTGGTAGATCACAAAGTGTTTATAGTAATAGCTCCACAGAAGGTAGCGCCAGTAATACCAGCTCAAATGTTCCAACGGCTGGTGTTCAGCGAAGAACATCATCTAAGAAAAAAGCTGCACCCCCACCACCACCAAGAACATCAAGTGCTAAGTCTAGCAATGAAAATCTGTCTTCCGCTGATGTGAATTCTGTTCTTCAAACGCTTATCAATGGCCGAAGTGTTGTAAATGGACATTATCAAGGTGCCGGAGAGGATGATAGAGACAATGTATTCTGTGGCTGGCAAGTCACCCCTCCTGAGGAATGGAATGATCATGATGTTATGGAGTGGTTGCAGTCTGTCGGACTCTACTATTTTGTAGACATCTTTGAAGGTAAAGAATATTTTACTTTTTTTTTTATAAGAAACCTGTTTTCTCTGTGTTCCTATTCTAATGTTATTGTTCCATTAAACTTTTATTAGCTCCGCTGTCGACTTTGTCGAGCAGAGCTTATCATATGAGTGATTGTCCTTCGTCGTAGCCGACAGGCTGCTTGTTAGTAAACTGTTGCTTTCTCAATTTCACATTTTACTTCAATGTCCGTCAATTGTTGAAAATATGAATTGGCAGAATACAAACAATGCGCAATATGAAGCCATATTAGTATTCACATGGTAATCATAGTGTTGCGTACATAATGTGACAAGTACATAATGTCAATCTTTACACAGGAGATGTATGTGTCCTATATATTGTGAAAACATAATTTTTTTTGTACTAGGGTTTGTAACTCTGTTAATTTCATTATTTTTTTATGATCATATTTTATTATAAATATGCTAATTGATGTGATGTCTTTATCTATTTATGTCGCTGGGAAAAGCCTGTTGATTATTTTTTTTTGGCAAACTAATGATGTAATGATGATTATGACAGGTTTCAATGGGAGTTAATTACCGTACTGTGAATGGCAATCAAGTGAAATATTTATCTGAGACTACTGACTTTAATGGTATTTCTTTTACTGTACAATATTTCATTTTCGCTTGGAATTAATTTTTGCTATTTTCACTGAAGGAATGATTCAGTGAAAATAAAATCCAGCGAATATACTTTTTTCCTATATTTTACATTCAACTCATCAAAAATCTGTGAAAATAAATTCCATACAAAACACCCAAAAATTTTTTTCAGCGAAAATTAATTCCAGCTAAAATAAAGTATTTTACTGCATATTTGGAATGTGTGTATGTAATGGGGTAAGATATCATTTGATTCCAACGTGTGTGTAAATCTAAGAGGACTTTGTTTATACTACATGTGACAGAATGATGAATCCACTTTCTTCACAGGATGTGGCATTGATGGCGACTACCTCATGCAGGTCACAGAGCAAGATCTCAGTAAGTAATTTCGTGTTTTACATTTCAAGAAGGATGGTAGTGAACAAAATTATAGCCTGTTTACGTCCCTATTATTCCCTGTCATACTAGTTTAGAAATGTTGCCTTGATTTGCCTATTAACCATGTAAATTTATTCCAACGACATGACGGTCGTACTTTCGCACCTGTCATCCATCATTAAGAAAATTAGCATATTCAGACTAGCAGCGGGCTATATTTATCAACCAATCAATGATGCGGTCACGTATTGATCGTACACATGAAATCTAGGCAACATTCATATTAGTATGGAAAGGACCCAAAAATACAAAATTATTACTTTAATGCAAAAATCTTAATTCTTTGATGGTTTACTGATTCTTCAAATGAACCATAGATGAAAATGGCTGCATTTATGGAAGCAGGAGAGCCAAGAAAGACTTGTTTATGCCCCTCAAATAACAAAATCTACTGTCTTCACAGCACTGGTCTCCTGACCTCTGTAACCATGGTAACTGGATGTAATACCATGAGAAAATAGAACACTATTTGAGGGGGCATAACATGTCTTCGTGGTCACTATTTGCTGGGCTCTCTCTGGAATTTTCTAGGTAATAGTAAATTTACTAATCAAGAAAAAAAAGTATTAGTAAACTTTGTCTGGAAACTGCGGAGCATTTTCCCGCGACCGAGCACAACGGAGAAGAGAGAAGGAGAGGGAGGTGTCCCCTCTGTCGTCCGCCGAAAACAAGAACAGCATGCTGAAAATGGTGCTTGCTGGTGCAACCTGAGCTCTAATTTTGTGTGTAATTTAATGACATCAAATTAGGCAGTCTGCTGCACAAAATGTACCATTTATGATGGTACAACAAAACATCACAACAAAATATGCAATGTAGACACCAGAACCTTTATTTGAATAACTCAGTATTAATTAAACATATTCATGATAAGCTCACATTGTTAACAGTGGGGAAAATAGTCATCATTCAAAAGTTCATTAAG